GCACCTGTTTCTCAAGAGATCCTTCAAATCATTAAAATCCAATGAAAAGACTGAAAGCCTGGGAGATAAATGCCTGAAACACTTATAGTCTGTTGAGTAAGGGGGGGGGATGCTTTTCTGCTTCATCTATAGGCACATGCCATTATGAGCAGAAGACATCTGTCAGTAACTGAGCACCAGTTACTCCTTCAGGAAGCACATAACTTCACTGATGGAAAGACTCAGCAAGCCCTGGAAACACATGAGCAGCAGCTGGAGGCCTGTGGAGAGAAGCTTGCAGCCCGGGAGGCCTTCTCACGTCAGACCAGACAGATACAGCAGCACTCTGATCCTATCCAGTTGCTGGAGGTGGTATTGTATGGTGTCTTTCTACCTGTTATACTCACAGTGCCTGGTAAACTGCTCTAGTCACCTCCTCTGTAGATCCTTCTGCACGTAAGTAGCATCTTTCTTACTGCTTTTTAATCTTCTTTCTGTTGGTATTTTTGGTTCCTGATTTTTGAGCTGTTATGTGTTCCTGCTATGGCATTGATTTCTGGCCTGTATGAAATTCATAATAATTTTTAATATACATGGAAGAGAGTTATATGAATCTCTTAATCTTGAAGACAAATGCTGTATCTGGTCTTCCTTTGTGCAATGTAATCTGAAGGTCTGAGGAAGGGCAGTCCTCTTGGAAACCTTAGGAGGAAGCTTAAATTGTCTCATTTCTTTTAACAGAAAGAGATCCTAATCACCGTGAGCAATAGCCATGCTTTTACTGGAGGGGGCAGTGCTTTTCTTTTTGCCTACAGATCAATGTCAGTTTCTCCTTCCTACTGACATTGACCTTTTTGGGAAGGGTGTGCGGTCATGTGCTTATGCCCTGACAGAAGCCAAAGGTTCCCATTCTTCATAGGAAGGCCTGTGGTGCATTTTTACATCCTTGCACTGTAGCAGACTTGGGAGTTTCCATTGTTGTGAGTGGTCTTGGCATTCTGCTGTGTGCGCTAGCAACGTATCTCCACATAGGTAACAGCTCCTTGTGGTTTCGGAGAGATTTTGTGTGTAGGAGGTTGGATTTTATTCTTTGCTTTTGCAACATAGCGGTTTAGTTTTTCCACTGCTGCGATTTCTCACAAAGGGTCCTAGCCAAGGGGTTAAACTCATTTCCGTCCTGGAGGGCCGTGCTCTGATCACAACTACTGGGTTCTTGTCTGACATAGCCCCTGCTCTGCCGGCAAGAGGAGCTAATGGGCAGGCTAACGAGCTAACCGGCCGACTGAGCACAGCGAGACTTGTCTGTTGCGGTCTTTACCTAGTGGTGGGCTGTCCTTGCTCTGTGGTGTGTGGGATCTGGGGGAGATCCTCTCTGTCCTGTCCTGTCTATTTCACTTAAAAGAAAAAATAGATGTGCTTACTAAATCTGTCTTTTAGGTACCCGCCAGTGGTTTCATCAGGCTTGACAGAAAGAGTGAAGGCGGTTGTTTAAGGATGTCAGATCTTATTTTCAAAGGGAGTATTCGGGTTATTTCTAGAAAATGAAAACAGAAAGCACACGCCATCACAGTAAATTATTGAGGTACAGGAAAGGAAAACCTTTGTGAGACATGTAGCAATCCAGTGTTGAAGTTGTAGGACAGTGTCTTCAGAGAAAATCTCCTCTTCAAAGTCCTGTAGCTTTTTGACCTGCCCTGTGTGACTGCATCATGTCAAACTTGTTCAATTTCATGAGAGATTTCTTTTTCTCCTGGCTTTGTGCAGCTCTCAGTGTTTGTTTCTTACCCAGATGTATTCCTCTTCTCGTTTGTGCACCATGCAGTGCTGACATACATTTTTGTCTTTTGCTGGCCTGCTTTAAAGCATATGAACTTTAAAGCATTGGTGCACACAAACAGTTGCAGTGCTTTCTAATAAAAATGTCAGGTTTTCCCCTGCAAAATTGCAGGTTCCAAGACATTGCAGGCTGTGGGCTCCTTTGCAAGTTTTATACCTTGGACTTCTTTCAAGAATCATGGTAAATGTAGTGAATGTGTTTGTTTTTTGACTGCAGATGCAGGATCACCAACCTGAGAGTATGACAGCCTTCACCTGGGGCTGAAACTGTCTGATGACTGACTTGTAGCAAGCTGTAAGTGGAGGAGGATGTTCTACCCTTGTGGTCCTCAGAGATTCGATCAGTTATGGCAAGTGCCAAGCAGGGATGCCCTCCTCTCTGGGAGCCATTACTGGGAAATGGAACTGCTCCACACTGGAGCAGGATGGTGGGTTGGTGCAGCCTA